ACATAACACTGACAAATACCCTTGAATTTTCTTTTTTTTGATCCAATTTTAGGGATGCAGTTCTGCTGCCGATTATTTGTGGAGCCACAAGTATCTACGGTGGCATAGCCATATTTTCGGTGATAGGACACATGGTGCACTCCATGGGCAGTACCGATGTGGCCGCAGTGATGCAGTCGGGTCCGGGACTAGCCTTTTGTGTATACCCAGAGGCGCTGGCCAAACTGCCCGGCGGATCAATCTGGTCAGTCCTCTTCTTCACCATGCTTTTCTCTCTTGGTATAGATAGTCAGGTAAGTCCAACCAACTCAAGGCGTTGGGAATAGTGAAGATTTTCTTCTTTTTTTCCTGCTAACTTCTTTGATTCACCTTACGGATTTCTTAAGGGGCGTGATAATATTGTAATATAATCATATCCTTTAGCATAGTCCCAAAATATTTTTAGTCACTTCAGGGCGCCGATATTTGCGTGCACGTAAACCGCAGACTATAACAAATAACTGCCTAAGTAGCATGTCATCTTTGTTACTGATTTTGCATGCTCGTTGAAATAAGGGGATATTTTATGGGAAAAATGCTCACTGCCATGCTTCCTTATAATGAATATGGAGCAGTGTGCACCTCTTTAATTTGTTTGCTCAACAAGGGGGAGTAATTCAATTCTAACAGTTTTTAAATCGCCGAGTAATTTTGAGGCCGATCTTCCGTTGTATTTATTTTAAGGATCTACATTCTACAAGTAGGCACTTTCCATGTAAGAAACACATTGCTGGTGCCATTAAAAAATGGCGTAAGAGGATCATAAACAATTTGTATGGGGGTGGATTGGACTGTCGACTATATAGACAATATTAATAAACGGATAGCTTCGATACTATTCAAATGGTCGTAAATACCTCACATTGACAAACGCATGAAAATTCGCCTTTCATGCAGGTTCCGCTGCAAATATACGGAGCTGGGAATACAGTCAGGTCACATTGACAATATTGAACACGAACGTCTCCATCATTTTAAAAAAAGGATCTATTCACATCTTTATTTTGCCTGAGTCAAAGCCCTAAAACCACTGACTCACTTTGTGACCTCATCTAAAGCCGCCAATTCAAATTTATTTTCGACTTAGTTGCATGCGATTAAATGCGTACACTTTGACGAAGTTACCTACTGATATTGCTCCATTTCTAATGCTTACAGTTCAGCACCCTAGAAACAATGACTAGCGGCTTTATGGACCTATTTCCCACTGTACTTGGCAGGCACAAAATTCTCTTCACTCTTGGCACTTGCGTTGTGCTGTTTCTTCTTGGGCTGATCTTAGTCACCCGCGTAAGTTACTTACCGCTTATTCTGTCCTGCCCTTCTGATTGAAATTACAAGAGGCTTAATAGGGAAACCGAATTCACCCCTTTACCGACTAAATGGCTGTTCAGAACCGTTTTAACAATCAACTTATCTATTTCTAACAATCAACGCACTGGCCGTGCAACTTCAGGTCATTAAATTAAAATCAAAAATGGCATACCAGACATTCGTTGGACTCTGGCAGTTGGTTTGTGAGACCCGAAACATGCTTGTGAGAAGAGGTTAGAGATTTCCAAAAGACAACTTGGAAACGAGACACCATTTTATTGTCGTAAGCGAGGTCCGGTAGTGGACTTTTCGGGTCTGTCACTAGTGTGCTGTGTAAAGGTACTGTAGGATTCATACCAGTGATTTACATCCGAGACACCCGGCATTGGAATCTAGTCTTCTTAATTAATCTTGTAGGTTATTAAAACAGAACGAATTAAGTACTGGTTGAGCATTGCGTTAGCCTTTAACAATGACGTTCATCCGAGTATCCTTTGACTCAGTATTCCGTCGTAACGCGTACGTAAATTCTTAATGTTAACAACAATTGGTATAGTACGCGTTAC